ATTTACCAAACGACCAAATGCCGCAAGTCCATGACTTCTATTAATCTATTTAAGCAACTGCTCATCTCTGCATCTGTAACGCTCTTAGGGAATTAACCCATATTTTGTTTAAATTTAATTTAATAATTTTTAAGTAATTCTCTTTATCTCTGCCTACACTTCTAATACTTATTTCTTCTTCTTTTTTTCTTTCACTATTATATACCTGTCTCGTTTTAGAAAGACTAGAGTTACAGTTGTATCTTTAATACATTGATCGCGGTTATATGGCTCGATCGAGGCAACGTAATCTCTGCCAAAAAGACTAATTGATATGTGTATCAGCTAGTTGAAAACCTGCATCTAGTCTCTGTGAGAAAAAGGTACAAAAGCTGCAGCTGGTTAAAAACACTCTTTCATCTGCATTGTAATCATCTCTGCGCTTCTTTTGTATGCGTCTTCTGGCGAGGCTGCGAAAGCCTCGCCTCGGAATAATGAAGCGCGCTCGACGTCGTATGAACTGCTTAACGGCGTGCTTTTTAAGGAAGACACCGAGCATTGTGGGATCCTTCAAAAGCGCCGAGCGACCTCGGTATCGGGTGGCGATCTATCGCGGCAAAACATGGGCAATATATGAGGGTGCTTTATGGGATATGGGAAAAGCAGGGAAAGAACGAGAGAACGAGAGCGAGGAATCCCCATAAGAGATTCTAAATTTGCCGTTAATAGCGTGACGTGACGAATGGGCACAGATGCATTCGACGTGCCTCGTGGGACGTGCCCTGTTTTGAAAACGTGCCGATATTCCGGCAAAGCCATGCGATGGCACTGACGAGCTTTTGGATTTACCGTAGTCGTAGAGTATGTCCGGTCTCTCTCTCTTTCTCTGTGCAATCCCTCCGCTCCGATTTCCCGTGTCACGGCTTTCACGGCTAGCAAGCGCCTCTCCGTGCGTATCTCATAAATCGCTGGCAATTCCAGCTGTCCTCAGTGACACGACAGTCGGTGACCCGGTCAAAGAGCGCATCGTACTTAAGGGTCGCACGAACGAAAGTAACGTAAACGCTTTTAACGTGAGGTAGAAGCAGAAGCATTTGCTTTTCACAATGTAAAACGTAACCTGTGATTCATACACGTAATTTCAATTTTTGCTCTACTATAAGTTATTGGCTACCTAAGATAAACAAATTCCGTCATATAAATTAAATAATCAATAAGTGATCGGTCATTTTTATCAGAACCGTTGAATAATCATTTAACGTGATTTACAGAAAATTGGAGATTTATTTATGTCGACTGAAAATTTATACCGAAAGTTTACGGTGCTCAATATATGTAACTATCTACCGATGCAGCTTTTTGCGGTGCGCCAGAAAGAAAGTTTTTACGACACTCAAGGCACTCGAGATTTCCGTTTAGGTATAAGAATGCGCGGAGGAAGTGACACTTGGAGTGGAAGCGATGGCGCGACAGCTGACATTTTATTTCGTTTTCCTCGGATATGATGGAGTCTAAAGTGGCAGCGTATCGTGAAAATGTAGGCGTAGTCGTTTCAACAAGCTGCTTGGCGCCTTTCCGACACATTTTAAACGATTTTGACGATATATTCGCGCATGTTACTAAAGTGGGATGTTCGTTTTCTTCTTAAAATTTCTTCTTACAATGACCTATAAGTGAGAATGACCAAAAGATTAGCGTTTAGATGTTAAATGGAGACACGTGTTAAATGTTCGCCAAAGCCGATACGTC